GGAGAGCGAGGACAACTGGTCATTTTTTCTCTGTAATTTGAGGCTTCATGTTGTACACGACAGAATCACGTGTATTATATCAGATCGGCATAAGGGGATAATTAGTGCACTGAAAAATAATGTAGATTTGTGGCTTGAACTGTATTTTGGATACCATAGGTATTGTCTTCGACATGTTCGGAGCAACATGGTGGCAAAACACAAAAAATAAATTGCGCGAACCAATCTGGTGTGCTGGAAAATGGGCAAGAAGCGGCAAAATCAAAAGTTTCTAAAATTTCAGCAATAACTGAGAGAGTGCAATGAAGCAGGTATTGCTTATATGATGGCTATTCCGAGGGGGAGGTGGAGTCTTGCCTACGATCAAGATTATGCATGTTGGGGAATGTTGACAACAAATATATCTGAGAGTTACAACAATGTTCTGAAGGGTGTTCGATTTTTACCAATTAGAGCTGTGGTGGAATCGACTTTGGCGAAGACAATTAAGTTCTTCCGTGATTAGTATGCAGATGCCTTGAAGTGCAATACTCCTATCGGAGATAAGTATTGGAAGAAATTCTGTAAGTATAAGAATACAGCAGCAACTCACAAAGTGGAGCTGTACGATTTCCAAAACCAAGTGTATGGGGTCATTACAGGTTGGCGTCGTATAGGGAAAGGTGGAAATGAACACAAAGTAGAATACAAGGATTGGCGTTGTTCATGCAAGAAGTGGCAGACTTACAGGCTTCCTTGTTCACACGCATTGGCTGTATGTCGGTGGATTGGTGATCACCCAGAAAACATAATACATGAATATTATAAGACGAGCACAGTTTCGTCATTCTAGGTTTGTTCCCGTCCCAAGAAGAAAAGAGTGGGTGTCTCCAGAGTGGAACCTTGTTCCTGATTATGTCAATCTAGTTCTGTATAATGTTGTAGGTCGTCAACAACAGCGGCGATTCTTGATGTCAATGGATTATATGGGCAGGGGTAGACGCAGAAGATGTAGGAGATGCGGCAGTCGAGATCATTTCACAAGGGAATGTCATCGTTCGCACTGCATAGCTGATCGGACTAGATTGGAAGTCAATTGGGACGCAGATGGTTTTGAAAATGTTGAAGAGGACTGAATCCTTCCGTTGTGTTGATCAATTTATCATTTTTGGTTCTGTTTGGATTTATTATTGTTATCTTAGTAAGATGTTTGATTCTGTTTGTGTAATAGATGTATTTGGATGATCAATTTGATTTTTATTTGGATGTATTATTGTTATCTTAGTAGGATGTTTGGTTCTGTTTGTGTAATAACTGTAATCTGTAATATGTGTTAAGTGTATTATTACAGGTTTTTTTGGAAAAACATAAAGTAATAAAGACGGAATTTCAAAATCCGTTATTAAGCTAACACAAAAACTGAATTTGCACATCCGTTTTTATTCTGTATAAAATCCCACAAACCTGTCCTGTGGATCATTTTCTTCTCCATTACTAAGAAAATGTCAAGCTGGAGTAGCAGCAACAACACCAACGGCACCAGTTATCTGCGTTACGAGGCATATTTTTGCCCGTTATACGAAAATAAGTGTAAATTTATGTTATCTAATACGCCCAAAAATCCAGGCCGTCTTTTTCACTATTGTCCTATTCACCATTTTCAGGGTTGGGCAAAACCAGTAGGAAACAATGCTGGGAGTAGTTTCATTGACAACGGGCAAAGGAATGCGACTATTAATCACGGGTGTAGAAATTGTACCAGCAATAATGAATCAAATCTTTATTTTCTCAATTTAGCATGCTTAGGTTATATTTTTCTTGTTCTAGTTATTTTATTTATTAGACGTTAGGGTTTGATTGTATGAATTTATGGTTTGCAAGAATTAAAAAGAAAGTGTAGTTTTTTAATTTTTTTTTAAGTAATTAGATAAAACGGATAATTGAAATCCGTTTTAAGGAGTCCAGGTCCTGGACTACTGTAGTCCAGGACCTGGACTCCTTAAAACGGATTTCAGATTTCCATTTTTTTGAAAAACCAAAAACGGATAGTTTTAATCCGTTTTTATTTTAAATTACTTTATTAAAAACTCTGTTTCAAGCTTTTTACTGGAGTCCAGGTTCTGGACTCCTAAAAACGGATTCAAGATTTTCGTTTTGTTTAAAAAACCAAAAACGGATATTTTTAATCCGTTTTTATTATATATGTCTTTAGTCAAAAGTGCATCTTTTTCCCCTTTCTTCTTTCTCCTTCCTCCCCATCCCCGACCCGACTTTGCCCTAATTTTCCACCGACCGATTCAATCTATTCTTCGGTAATTCTCGCCATCATGCCATCGAAAGTCCGTCAATTATCGCCGGCCACCATCTTAATCCGTCAATTTCGTCCATTTTAGCCTTTAGGATCCCTATATTCAACCCACCTCCGCCCCGTTACGAACCAACCTCCGATGTTGCTTTCACTCCGGTGTCCCGCCGCATTTCTCTTCGACATCATTGGTCCCATCTCGCCTCACTCCGGTGCCTATTTGTCCCGTCTCGCCTCACTGTTAATCGGTAAGTCGACTCTGGATGATTTGATAAGTTAACGTTTTTTTTTCCATTGTTTCATCAATTTAAAGATTAGTTCTGAAATGCCTTAGCTCTGAAATGTTTAATATTGATGTGCATTCTTTGATTCTTTTCTCAAATTTGAAACGTTCTTTTGCTCTTTAGAATAAAACCGTTGTCTATTATATGTGTGTTCTATTTATTTTCTGAGCTTGTGGTTTCCACAGTAGTATGGAGTTCAGTAGTATGTATGTTTATTTGGTTGTGAGCAAAAAGTGATTCCATATGTTCTAATTCAGTTTACTACCTTACAGTTTCTGGTGACACTCTTTTGGATTGCTTGCTATTTTCCACTCTAGTGACACTCTACTATCCTTTGGATTGAAAAGAAAAAAACAAAATTTTCTCTTTCTTGTTGCTGAATATATGTTCTTCTTGCTGTTAGGAACCTGATATTTCTTTCTACTGCCTGAAAGTTCCTCTACTTTTTATACTGCCTGAAAAAGATACAAATTTCTTTATTTTCTACTGCCTCTTTTTTTTCTTGTCATACTGCCTTAAAATCCATTTACTTTCTTTTTTTTTTTGGCATTTAACTGTTTCCACTGTTTAATATTTAACTGAATTGGAACATTTTAAGGGTTTATGTTTAGTGCAGAAACTGTCCTGTTTTTTGGTACATTCTAGTTAGTGCAGAATATATTAGTACATTCTGTTTTAATACATTCTTTTTTTTGGGAACTGTCCTGTTTAGTGCAGAAATATGGCTAGTTCTTCTTCGTTGCAAGCCCCAAAATTCACAAATAAGGGTCCGATCGACTCTACGCTTCTTTATCTTCAGGGTGATCATCGATCTAATGCCGTTTGGAACAGTGAGCCGAGATTCATGAATGAACACCATAAGTGTCGACGATTTGATAATCTACTTTGGGAGCTGTACGCAATGACCAATGACACAGTTAAAGCTTACGTGGCTAAAATAGGTTTTGGATACTTCCTCGAGACGGGTCTCACCCAATTAGAAAACTCCCTTGTGACAGTCTTGGTTGAAAGATGGCGGCCCGAAACTCATACATTTCACTTCCCAATGGGGGAAGCAACAATTACACTCCAAGATGTCGAAGTTCTTTTGGGACTAAGAATTGATGGAAACCCTGTAATTGGCCAAGATTCGCCACCAGCTAGTTGGGTTCCAATGTGCCAGGAGCTTTTGGGCTTCACACCCAAATTGAAAAAAGGGTCCAACCAATTTATAATCACTTCGCTGGCAGATGAGTGTAAGCGAAAACTTCCAGCAAATGCCTCAGATGATGCCTGCCAGAAAAGGGCTTGGGTTTTTGTTTTGTGGGCAATTGGAGGTTCACTATTTCCGGACACAACCGGCAATACTGTGCCTTTGCTTTATTTTCCCTTACTGAAGGATTTTAAGTCTTGTAAAAAAACTAAGTTGGGAGAATGCATGTCTCGCGGTGTTGTATAATAATCTTTGTAAAGCATCAAGGACAAAATGAGATATAGGTGGATGCCTAATTCTTTTGCAGGTAGAACTTGATTTGCAGGAATTGTATTTACTTTATTTTTTCCTTTTATGTATAACAGTTTGTGTTCTTTTAACCTAACATGTGTTACATTTACAGATTTGGGCTTATGAGCGAATCCCAAGGATTCGCCCCATGAGGAAAAATCCGGAAGACGAATATGACATCTTGGCCTTAGGTTCAAGGTGGAGGTGTTCATTGGATTTTTCGCAGGTGGCCTCCCACTGTCTCCCAGCACAACGAGATCAACTCGCGAGCCTTAGGAAGGCTGAAGATGTAAGGGTTTCTAATTTTATATTTTATTAAATTCTTTTTGAATGAATTTGGACTTAATGAATATATGGCTTTTGCACTATTTTCGTAGAAATGTGGTTTAGTTAATATGCTGCTTTACACTAATGCATGCGTACATTTCATTCTGATTCAATACAGATTGTTTTCTTTTCTCCTTCTTTTTCACGTAATAATAAAGGTTTTAGTGGGACTAAGAAATCCCTTCATCGTTATTTGAATTTCTTTTATTTTTTCTCCTCTTACTCTTGATCAGAAGCAGAAATTTTTGTTAGGTTTTAACTGAACTCATCCAGTTGGTAGTTCAAACATGTTTTGTTTTCTATCCATCTACTTTCTGTGAGAAAACATTTTTCTGCATTTAATAATAATGAGACCCAAGTGGGTTTGGTCATTTCTGAATTATGATGATGAATGTTGTGTATCTGGAAGTGGTAACATATTATATCAACATGCTTATTTGCTTATTCTATGTTCTTTTTTTTTATTTCAGTTTATTTGGCAACCTTATGAAGGAGTGGAGTTACCTGAAAGATGTACACGGGGTTGGGATCATTGGCGATCAACACTTGGCTAATTTGCTGGGATACCGTTGAACCGCATCAAGTTGAACGTGTGATGCGATAATTTGGCTTGAAACAATTGATGTCACCACAACCAATGATCGCTGGTTTTGAAGAATGGGAAAAGTTGCACAAGTATGGTTGGACTGGAAGAGCTGGGAACAATTGGGAGTTTCATCATCGTGGATACATCGAAAAATGGAACAACAGGGCAGACTCCATTGTGGCTGAGTCTCCGAATGGTCAATCCTCAACCGATGATGATTATCTCCCGTGGTATGAAACCAATACCATCAAATTTATCAAGGATCCCAATAAATACAACTTTCAGGAGGAAGGGTATCGTGAGTATTCGGATCACGCAAAATTCTATGTAAGTATTTTTCTTTTTATCTCTAATCTTTTTTTTTAAGGCTGGTTTCTTTTTTTCTTAAGATTTTTCAGGTTTGTTTTTTTTTAATTACATTTTTAACCATTAAAAATGGTTAAATTGATTCATCACAGTGTGACACCCATCACACTTCGTACATAAATGTAAAAGGCTTTCTTGTTAGTTTTGATTCGAGTAGTAATTGATAGTAGGTTTAGAGGAAGAAACGTATTTATTTAGAATACCACATTTGTGATTAGTATTGTGAGAGAATTTTTCCTTCCTTTCACGTCACTCCCCACAATTAGTGATGGGAAATTTGTGATAAAAATTGACTGGCTCTTTTTAATATGTTTGGATTATTTTATCATGATGTAAACTTGAGTTAAATGCAAAGAAAATATCACTGTGTGTCCCCCCCCCCTTCTATCAGTTGTCAAAATGCTCTTCATTTCATTGTTCCTATTAATGATAAATTAAAAAAAAAAAAAAAGTCTAGCAACCTTATCTTTTCAGTTTCGTGCAAGATTCATTTCAATCCCCCTTGAATGGGTTTAGAAGTTTTTCAGTAAATTTTGGTTATTTTTGTGTTTTTTGTAGTTTGATATTAATTGTACGTTGTTAGTTCATCTTTCATTTTAGTGTGGGTTGATTTATGCTCCTTTTCACATGAATTTTCAGGCTGATGCTTTGAGCGATATCTGCAAAAAGGTAGAAGACTACAAGAAATCAGAAGATGTCTGCCAAAATTCAATATGTATGAATATCCTTCTTGAACTCACTTCTCATTCTATGAGTGCTTTATCCCTTGGAGCACATGAGATGCCAATTTTGAAACCCACACAATCACTTGTTGATCTTCAACCACAACCTTCTCAACCGGTTGGCAAAGTTCGCAAACGAAACATTCCTCACCGTGGGATTGGAGGAGGCAGACAGAAAATCGTGGAAGAAGAAGAACCACAAGATGATCGTGGGATTGGAGGAGCCAGGTAGAAAATCGAGGAAGAAGGAGAACCAGAATTTGATTTTGAACTCAATGCCGACTTGTTTCAAACTCCAACCCCCCATAATCAGGACGAAGCCAACCAATAAGGTGAATTTACAAGCATGGATGTGGATGTTACACCGCCCTTGAAGGAATCTAGTCTACCTTTGGCGTTAGCAAGGCCGCGTAGAAAAATAAAAAAAATCAATCGCTACACACCATCCACTGCCCAACCCGAGCCACTGCTAGAGGAGGAGGAATTGTAATGGCTTCATTTTGTTGATAATCTACTTTTGATGAACGTTTGTTGATGTAGTTTTTTATTTAAACATGTTACAATTGCAATATTTTGTTGAATTGATGTGTGAATTCAAGGGTTATGTTGAGTTGAGGCTGCTATTGGTGTTGTTTTGGTGCAGTCTGAAAACTGTTTTTCAACAGGTTTGAACAGGTTTGCAATTGCAAACCTGTTCTGTTTTTTTTTCTGTATACATCTTTACAGATTTTGAAATTCCATTTTTTCTTTTTCAAAATACTTTCTTACAATGGATTTTAAATTTCCGTTTTTTACTTCTGATAAAAATTTATTTCACATTATTTTGGGACAAATTCGATAAAAATTGGTAAATGAAAAACGGAATAAAAATTTCTGTTTTTCTTAATCAAACAAATTATAAAATACTAATTACAACTAATTCTTAAAAGACGGATTTTGAAAATCCGTTGTATGAACAGTACATGTAAAAACAGAAATTCTATTTCCGGCAAATATTTTTTCTGACCACTCCCTCAGACAGCTATATTTCAGTCGACTCCTTCTATTCGGGACATATTTTGGGGTTTGACTTAGTAAGCACTCTATGTCATCAGCATTGAGTTTTCTAAGACATCGTTCTCCGTATATCTCGATTGTATATCGGTAGAATTTCATTAAACATTGTATTGCAAGGTTTTACTAATCTTTAGGTACTCGTCAATTTGGTCATCTGTCACTACGTATGCTAATTATCGAATAACAGTTGTTATTTTTAAAACGGAGAGAACCATTATACACCAACGACATCAATCTGCCATTGAAAATATTCCAAATGAGCTTCAATTGCTTAAACAATTTGTATGAATAGATATTTTCTCATTCGACTAGCCGAAAAAAATCCAAAGGGAGACTGGGTTCTTTAAAAATAATCATTGAAAAGCCGAACATGACATTCTTCTCAATCTTGTTTAATATGTCTTCAAGTACGCACTTAAGAGCTCTCGACTTCATTTTGTTGCTATTAATCCAACATTTTGAAAATTTGCTTATCAATTTCGTCATGCATCTCATCTTCTACAAATAATGGAGGTATCATTGGAAATTTGAGACATTTTGGATTGAGATGTATATATAATTGTATTGTGAAATCTCAAAAGAAAAGATTTATGGAAGTGTTTTGTAGCTTATTTAGAAAAATTGATAGACAAGGGTAATATTTGACGCTGAGAAAAATTATTAAGCAACCTTGGTTTGGAAGAATTCAAAAGCAACAAGACGTATTTATAGATAAAAAGAAGTATTAGAAAAAGGACTACATGATAAATGTCTGCAAACAGGATAATCAATTTTTTTAGCCTGATCTTTTGTTTTTTTTTTCAAGAAATTTTATTTTTTATTATAATTTTAGAAATGGTAGACCACCTCATTTTTGGAAGTCTCGTGTATTGTCATGAATATTATCTTTCAGTTCAGTTTTTATTTCTCACTTTTTCCTTTTTGAAACAAATGGCTAGCATTTATGTTAAGTAGTTTCTTCCTTTTTTTTTAGTTAAGGTAACAGTAAAAAACATATTAGGTAAAATTGAAAAAAACTTAACTATTACAATATTACTTAAACATATTAAACTAAAAGGTAATAGTATACCATAAAAAAATACATCAAATAAAATACATATAATAATAGAATGAAAATCAAAACCAAATCCAAAGATACTAACATTAAAATAAACAACACACAATTCTTTCAAAAAAATAAAAGAGCACCCAATTTGTAAAAGGAAATCAACCACACTAATCAACATTATGTTTCTTTCGCAAAGCGGAAACCCATTTGTTGTGAACCGCAAGTTGTTTTTCATTCGTCCATGTAGTATCCTTCATCAATGTGTCATACTCTTTTACGAAAGTGAGATTTTTGACCAAGGATTTTAACTCTGTATAATCATTATTTTTTTCTTTGCCGTATCGACATAACCTTTTCAAGTATCGGGGTCGATCTAGTTTCACCCACCTTTTGTTTGTCATTATCTTGGTTGCCTTTGACCATTTGGACGAATTTGAAGTACACTTTCGTTGAGTTCTAATCCTGAATCGTGGTTGGACGAAATAACATGTTCACCGTTTTCATGAGTCCTCGTCTTCTTGAAGGTCGTTCCATTGAATTGCTTGTTTTCCATTTTGGATAATCTTTTAACAGTACCCATACAAGCTCGAGTGTAAAAATACCGATTTTCAACTTGATCATAAAGTGCAAGGCATGCTATCTGTACAATTCATAGTGTTGGTTAATGATATTAACCCGTTTGTGCATCTAATGCCACTTTGCTTTACTTCTTTCCATTTTTTCTTTCAACTCCACCCTTTTTATACTTATTGTAATATGTAGTGACTCGTTTCCAAAACTGTTTTTCTTTCTAGTTGGTACTAATTTCACTGTTTGTAGATATGGTGAGCCAAACTCGTGCAAATGTCTCTTGATACTCTGTACTCCATTTTGCACATTTGACAGCCAATTCTTCCTCTGTTTCATCGGTAGCAGCTGAATTTTCCCCCTCAGGTTATGTTGACTACTGTGACATTTGAGTACCTAAAAATGAACTTCCTAGACTTGCACTTTCTTCATTGGTACCAAAGTTATTATATCTTGACATTTGTTCACTTACAATAATTGGATTGCAGTAATTGGAGGTTGAGCTGACAGGATATTGATATGAAAATTTTGGTTAATTTTAAAAATAGAGCATTTTGAAAGTTTTGGTGGAGATTATGAAAGATTAGTGCGGGTTGAAAAATAAGTGGTATTTGAATATTGAACGTAGTTGAAAAATTTAGTGACACATTTTGGAAGTTTTGAGAAATTTGGACATTGAGTGAATTGGGAATTTTTGGTGTATGATTTAGAAACATTAGTGGATTTTGAAAATTTTATTGAAACTGAAAATTAGGAGTATTTTGAAGATTATGTGCAAATTGAAAATTTAATCGTGAATTTGATAGTATGAGGGAGTAAAAAATTTTGGAACTATTATTTTCTTCCATATAGTAGTAAATTATTTTGGCCAACGAAAATATATAGTAAGACACAATGAAGAGTGGGATGTTGTACAAAAATTTTGCAATAAATTGAGGCAATTATTTGGGTGCACCCGAGGTCACCATACTCCCCCTCCTATTTTTTACACTACTAGTCTTTACTACACTTTTTTCCACTTTTCTAAATAACATCCTATAATTTACAGGTTTAGTCCCTTTGATTTTTTTTTCTCTCTCCTTTAAAAAACATCTCTAATCTTTAAACGACCATATCTCATGATCCGTAAAAAATTAGAGAACGTGTTATCCATGTTAATTATAGTACTCGTCGAGATCTATCCAACAAGATCCATGTCGAATTTTATTTTTGAGTTTAAAAATGACTAAATTTTGATGGGCAGAATAAGATGGATATCTAGTTTAGAAAGATGGATAACCAGTTTAGTTTAGATTAAAATTCTTATATTGCATATATCTCTTGATCTTTATCTCTTGATCCATAAAGAATTAGAATACGAATTATAAATAAAATTTATAGTGCTCGACGAAATCTATCCGATAAGATCCATGTTGAATATTTTTTTGAACTTTAAATGCATTTAAATTTTACGGGCAGAAATGAAGAAATGTGTTTTTCGTTTTCTTTGAAAAATGGTTATCCGTTGTATTCCTACTGATTATCCAACCGGTTTGGATTGATTATCCATTCTGTTTGTACTTGTTATCCAATCATATTTTTGACATTCACTCTACAAAAAAAAAAAAAGAAAAAATGATTGGATAAGCATTGCAAACAATTTGGATAATCAATAGATAATTGGATAATCAGTGCAACACGTTGGATAATCAGTATAAAAAAAGTTTGACAATCATTTTCATAAAAGAGCAAGGAAAAAAAATACTGGATAACCACCACAAAGAAGTTGAATAATCAATATGAACACATTGGATATCCAGTTTAAGAAAATGGATAACCAACTTATTTTACATTCGTATTGTTGTGTTCCTTATATCTTTTGATCTGTAAAGAATTATAACACAAAATACATATGAAATTTATAGTACTCGACGAGATCTATCCGATAAGATCAATGTTGAATATTTCTTTTGAACTTTAAATACATTTAAATCTTACGGGCAGAAATGAATAAATTGAAAAATGATTATCCGTTGTGTTCATACTGATTATCCAACCGGTTTGGACTAATTACCTATTTTATTTTATCCAATCATATTTTTTATATTCCCTTTTCAAAAAAGAAAAAAAGAAAAAGAAGATGGATAACCAACTTAGTTTAGATTGATATTCTTGTATTACATATATTTCTTGATCCGTAAAGAATTAGAACACGAATTATATATGAATTTTATAATGCTCGACGAGATCTATCATATCGGTTTGGACTGATTATCCATTTTGTTTGTACTTGTTATCCAGTCATATTTTTTACATTCACTCATCTTCAAAAAAAAAGAATAAAAGAATAAAAAATAAAATATTTGGATAAGCATTACAAACAATTTCAATAATCATTGAAAATAATTGGATAAGTAGTACAAGCTGGTTGGATAACCAGTACAAAAAAATCGGAATATCATTTTCATTAAAAGAGCAAGGAAAGAAAAAAGTCGGATAACCATCCATTACTGAGAAGTCGGATGGATAATCAGTATGAACACACTGGACAGATTTTTTCTCAAAAGAAGAAAAAAAAGAAG